TGAACAAATGGAGAAATCCTAGAAAGAGAGAGAGAGATAATGAGTGAGAGAGACTGATTCCAGAAAGATATAGAAAAATAATGATAAGAGAATTTACAGTCCCTGAAAGACAGCTACATCTTCCTTGTTCCCTAAACTCCTACCACTTTCCAATTACAGGCCTAGTGGGTCATATTCATACCTTGGCTCTGTCCTTAGATAGCCAGGAAATAGATTTTCACAAATGTGCATGTGTATGTGTGTGTGTATACATCTTAAAGATAAATCTCTCTTCTTTTGAACTGAATCTCTAGTCCTTATGATTGAATGGAGAATATCACAAACAGTATTTGTAAATATAGCATTGATATGAGAGGCCAAACAGAATATTTCCTGCTTCCTAAAAAAATGATGAATGACCAAGCTCTTAGCTGAGAATAGCATTAAGTACCCCATATTTTATTTCCAGAGCAGCTGACTGTGGGGCCCCAACATCTCCTTTTGGGACTGGTAGAGGGGTGACATTTTATCTACAGAGGTACTACCCTAGCTTCTCACATAAAATGAGAGAGTCACGGTGCATGGAGTCATCTCTGGAGAAAGACAGAACTGATAGAATGTCCACATTCCATCTCTCTTCTTTGCTAAAGATAGTGTGAGTGTGAGTGTGAGTGTATGTGTGCTGGGGTCGCCATTACACTTGCGTCCTAAACTTTTCCCATCATTCCAGCAGTGATAAATCACTTAAACTGTCCTATGCTGTCGCTTATTAAATGGAGGATTGCCTCTTGTCTGATAGTTGCTGAGTCACTAAACTGCCATGGGGCTGTGACGTGCCTTTCTTGATGGACGCCAGATGTTTGGTGCCTGTGGGTTTGAAAAAGCTTAACCACCATTGGGTTTCCCACATTAATACTGTGCAGGTAGAGGTCAGTATTTCAATTCCCATCACCCGAACAACCCAGAGCCAGTTTGTATTTTACAGAGCCCTGTACAAAACTGAGGGCCATGCCCATACTTCCAAAATATAGGTTGCTTATGAATTGGTGTTGCTATGATCCTACATCCCTCTGCTTTATTGCTGATCCTGAGCTCTAAGCATTAGAGAGAGGAAAACAAACAGTAGTGGAGAAAGAATGCAGACTCCACCTCCCCTCCTACCTTAAACAGCTCTTTGACAAGATCATAAGATGGGAAAGTTCCTAAGACACACACATACACACTCTCACACATATCAGAGCTACCAAAAAGTTATAGATACCTTCTGACATATTGTTTATTATTAAGGGAGTCAGGATTAGACAAAGCATAGTTTTTAGGAATTACTAAAAATGGAAAACATTTAATGCTCATCTCATATTACCTTTGGCAGTCTTCACTTGAAGTACATTTAAAAGTTCCATCTCCTAGTCCAGTGTTTCTCAAAGTGAAACCCAAACCATCTACATGAGAAGCACCTGAGAGTTTTGTTAGAAATGCAGACTTCTGAGAATTTCTGGAATTTCTGGAACAGAGACTTGAATCTACAATCGAAATGATACATTTCTGTGATCCTTACACTTGGAGAATCATTATCATATTCCTTTATGGCTTTGTCATACAATATTTTTAAAAAACTCTATGTTTTCTTACTAAATTTTGTTTTTTATTCCTTAATTAAAACTTAAGAAATATTATTAGAGCAAGGCATTTACTATTGAGTTCCAATATTTTTTTTCTGATAGAGGGAAAAATAATAAGCATCCTAAAGATATATCCACAGTTTGCATCTAAGTTGTCTCATGATTATTATTCTATTGTTTTCTTAGGCAGAAGGGATACTGTATAAATACTTGCTTAATTAATAAATAAGTTAATTTTAATGCAAGGCTTTCCATATGCAATACTTCATGAGCAACATTAAATCATGGAGCAGATATTTCTCCTTATGTTTCTTAGAAGATAAGTGTTAGCAAAACACCTCATAAAATAAAAATCTCAGATATCTATAGAACATGGTTTTAGCTAATAAGAATAAAGTTCAATTAAAAAGTGCCCTTAAGAAAAATAAAATCCTCAATTACTAACTATATTGTTTGTAGTAATTCTACAAATGTCCAATGCAAATTTTCAACTAAAACAAGGTCAAAAACATCCATTAAGATGCAATACTTCATGAGCAACATTAAATCATGGAGCAGATATTTCTCCTTATGTTTCTTAGAAGATAAGTGTTAGCAAAACACCTCATAAAATAAAAATCTCAGATATCTATAGAACATGGTTTTAGCTAATAAGAATAAAGTTCAATTAAAAAGTGCCCTTAAGAAAAATAAAATCCTCAATTACTAACTATATTGTTTGTAGTAATTCTACAAATGTCCAATGCAAATTTTCAACTAAAACAAGGTCAAAAACATCCATTAAGTTGCTTTGTTAAAGACATAAAGATAAGTATTTTCATATCATAGAGATCCTTGAGAGGATCGGTGAGGGGAAACAGAAAATACACAAATAACAAATGTTGTTTTGAAAAAAAGTAATGTAACATCAGAGCAAAGATTTAATCCTAAATCAGATGGCAAAAAAGATTAAAAGATTTCCTTGAGTAGATTTGCAAGATTTACTACCCAGGGAAATGAGCTATAAGATGGTTAGGCATGAGATAAATAGGAGCAAATGTCAGGTATGAAGAGTCATGGCATATAAGGAAAAGAGAGGTAGGTTGAGGATACATAGACAGGAGATAATCATGTATCATAGTTCTTTCAGTTGCAAATAATAGAAAAGTAAATTAAAAGTGGCTTAGCCAACAAGGCCATTTATTATTTCTTCTAAGATGCTGTTCAGAAATGGGGTGGTTTCAGGATTTATTCAGCAGCTCAGAGACAATACAGATCCAGGCTCTTTGCATTTTCTGCTCTTCCATCTTCAGCATTTTACTTACTTTAGATTAACTTCGTCACTAGTCCTAAAATGGCAGCAGAAAGTTTCAGGTTTTATATCCTTGTAGCAACATCTCTTAGCAGAAAGGGAGCATTTTTTTTCCTTAACTCTCTTTATGATTAAGAAAAATTCTTAGATGTACATAGATTAGATGTCATGTACATTTCCGAAACAATCACTGGACAGGACAGTGGAATTACCATGGATTAGATTAGTCAAGACTCATCCCATTTAGGAGCATAGCCTCCCCTACAGCATGAAGGCCCTAGTTATCTGAACTCATGTGAAGTTCTGAGAATCGGGATGAGGTGGTTTATGTTAAGCAATCCTCAGTGTTTTCCATATATATGCTAGGAATTAGTATATATATCTGTAGTTATTGAGTTTCTAAAATTTAGCAATAACACACTGAGTTGTATTTTACAATCTATATAGCAATTACTAAAGTTTTCTTTATAATTAACTTAGATATTTATGGTAATTCATTTCTACATTCCCCTGGCATGATTGAGAGTCCTACTCATCGGTATGTTTAAATAGCATATAAGAAATGTTTAAATAGGAAAAAATTTAGGGAAAATATCAAATGCCTGTTTTTAATTATAAATATCTTTTATGATACATTTTCAGTGTTTATACTTAAAATCATTATTTTTTAAATCATTATATCCAAGAAAGATCTTCGAGGCCAATTACATGAACACAGAATAAGTCATTTAAAAATAGTTATCAGTGTGAACTCTGTGTGTATTCATATGTACTGGAAAGTAAGGGGATCAGGGAGGGAAGGAGAGAAATAGGAAACAGGAGAGATCACAACTGTAGATACTGAAGGTTAATTTGCCCACATTTCCCTCAGTGAGCCTGAGAAGGGAGATTTGAGTCAAATATTCTCTCATGAAGTCCCACTTCCTGCATGATTAGTCAAGACTCATCCCAGTTAGGGGCATAACCTCCACTATAGCATAAAGCCACCAGTTACCTGAACTCATGCAGAGGGTGTACACACACACACACACACACACACA